CTCTTATTAAACTATTGAATTAAAGAAACTTCCATTATCTTCTATATTCTTTAGGACCTTCTAAATGTAGTTTAACAACAAAATATAAATAGAATAAAAAATTAAGTTCAAATAATAAGCCCACCTTAACCCGACCCAAAAATAGTGTTATAGGCCGTATATACATCAGCTGATCCGCTTTTCTTCACATAACAAGATTTGTAGAAAAGTACATATTTTTGCAACTTGTGAATTAGATTTTCATTTATTTGTTATTTTCCTTCTCTCGAACGAGCGGAAACTTGGGGAGAGGTCCAATCAAAAGTAGAAGAAGCAGTGGCGTGAAGGATCCCAAAAGCACGATTTATTTATTTTATTTATTAGAAAGAAAAAAAGGGAACTTAATTTGTAAATCACAATTAATATGTTTTGCGCAACTTGCAAAAACATTGTAGCTACCCCACTCCCACTTGCACCGCCAACTCTTTCCCATTTATTTCATTTTCACGCCTTTCGTGGCCACATTAAGTATGTATCTTATGATTAGTAAGCTATGCTATATTTGTCGATATTTGACGACCACAAGAAATAGTAAATGAAAGTATGAAACCATTTTTGCTATAACGTATTCATATCGGTGTTTTGCAGCTATGACGTATTCGTTTTGGCGTTTGTTTTATGCTGTTTACAATATCATATGTGAAAGTGAAACATCAAATATTGTTGGGTTTTTAAAATATCTACAAAGACTAACCATACTTAAAATCATAGTTCAAATATGTGTAACCATAGTCCTCCAACCGGTAATACATTTTCTAATAATCGTGATCACTGCATGAATTGATTTTTTATAATTTAGTTTTATTTACATAATTGTGTTGAACTTCGATTATAGTTTTACAAACATGCATGAAAAAATACAGCAGTTGGAAGTTTTTAAACTTTGTGGATAGAAATGTACGATTCAAAGTTTAAATAAACCACTCGAATATATAAACCAAATGAAATCACATCAAAATATTTTATATTTAAAGAGATCACTTGGAAACGAAACATATCGTGACTCTCGTGATGTAAAAGGACATGCAACTTGCGCTCTTCACTATTATATTTTATTCTATATTATTCAAAATTGAATATTATATATATATATCCTTTGATTGGGAAGAAGCATAAAGAAAAGGAGGTGGGAGAAAAACAAGTTGCAACTTGCATTTCCTTTTTATCAAGCGGAAAAAAATAACAGCTTGGCTTGTTGGGTTATCATTCAAAGCATTGTCCACTTGCAAGTTCTTAATTCTTTAATTCCACCAACATGTTCATATTTTATATTTTATTTATCAAATTTATGACAAAGAAAAACTTGAAATCTCAATCGATTTTCTTAATCATTATCGAATAATAAGGAAGTAAAAAGGTTGGAGGAACGATTCAAAATCCTCAAGGAAAGGATATATAATATTATGCCCAAGTTCCCTTCAGAAAAATTAAAAATCATGGAATTTTCTCATAAGTTGTTTGTAAACGTAATTTATTTGCATAATATAAAAATCACGAGGACGCAAGGTTTAGTATCTCAATGTTACGATCGAGTTACACCAGGGTCGAACATTACGCATTGCAATCTTAGTAAATATACGTATTTTTTGGTTGAAACTATATGAGACGAGATTAAACTTGAAAATCATATTTTAATTTAACAAACAAAACAACCAATTTTTCTCCTAGTTGAATACTATATATATATATATATATATATTATGATTAGTTTTTATTATCTTTGGTTTGGTGGTGAAAAGCCGGAATAGGGCTATCCGAATCGGTTCTTTATGGCGATAACATACAAAAACAAAAAAAAGAAGTAAATAATAATAAAAGATATGATGCATGGGGATTAATTCACTAATGTATTTTTTTTTCACACAATAAGCCGGAAAAACATAGATCACACGACGGCTAAAAATCTAAGAAAACGACGCCGGATCTAACGAAACTACTCAGAGGACGAAACACTCATCAAAGGGACGTCTTCTTCTTGCTCTCCGCCGCAGAATTCTCAGCTATTTTAGCCAAAGATTGAAGATTGCATCGTACGATAACGTCAACGAAGTCGCAAGTCTCTTCCTTTGTGTTCCCCGGAGGCACGTCAACGACGTAAGATTCCACAACGACGGTACCGGAGATCGGAGAAGGGTGGAGAGTCGTGACGGATCGGTAGTTAGAGAGCCGGTGGTCGCCACCGACGACGCTGAAACTGATTACGTGGCGCTCGTCGTCGAGAATGTCGAGACGCTCGGTGGAGCTCCCGGCGGGAAGGCCGGAGACGACGTGGACTTGACGGAGGCTACCGACGTTTCCGCCGTCTCCGCCGATAACGCTGCAGCTTTTTAAAAAGTGTTTGTATGCTTGCGGGTTGTCGAAGCGGCGTACGACGGACCACACGGTGGAGATTGGAGCGGAGATCTCTTGGATGACGGCGGAGCAACACTGGTTAGGACCAACCTCGTGCGTGTGGAAACGAGCGGCGGTTGAGTCTCGTGAGAGAGAAGGGAAACGTTTTTGAAAAGAAGCGATCATCATCGGAATCTGAACGGAATCTCCGTCGGATACGGCGGAAGAAGGACGGTGAACGGCGAGCATGACGATCTTGGTAAATGGTAATTTGCCTTTCTTGTTTTTATGGAAATCTTGATTCGATCTTTGATCGATTCCCTTCTTTTAAGAGTTAGAAGAAAACGGAGGTTTGAAGAGGAAGGTGTTCAAGGGGAGGAGAAGATGTGTGTATATAGAAAAAGAGGAAGATCGACTTTACAGCGACTTGCCAAAAGTTGGGCTGTGCCTTTCGATTTGAGAGAGATGGAGAAAAAGAGAGAGAGAGAGTTTTTAATGCAGAGTTCATGTGAGTGGTGATAACGAAAAAAAAAACCCAGCAAGTTGCTCTTCGCTAATTTACGCATTTGCCCTTGGTGAGAACAAAGTTTCTGTTGACTTGACTGTTCGGTACGATGGCAAGTGACCATAATTCTCGTGTACTATTGTTAAACACAAGATTTTAAAAAATTTAAGTACAAGTAGAGCTATGGGTTTTAGTAATTTTTTTACAAGAGAATTTTCTTTAATTTTGGTAACTAGGGACGACCAAAAATCTGGACGAAACTGTCTTGAAATTTGACACAATCTATTTTTAAGTATGGAGTGGTCCTAACGGGTTTCGTTTTTGATTAGACTAGTTTTTACATATAGATGAAGTCGAGTTTAGTTAAATTTTTGGCGGATACGCATATTAATTAGGATAATTACATTTCAAACCCATATATATGGATAGTTAGACCATCTCCAATGGTATGAATCTCAATTGGGATTCTTAACAATATTTTTAATATAAATTTTCAATCATTTAATCTTAAGAACTTTGATAGAAGATTTTATCTTTTTCACCTCCAATGGTAGAACCCATTAAAAATTCTTAAAAATTAAAAATTTATATAAAAAAATTATTGCACCAAACTTATATCATTTCTCTCCTACTTCACAATCACAAAAACAATAATGTATGGTTTGTACTTTGAACAACATTTATTTGTAAACTGAACGTACATGGACAGTAGCCCATGAGAATTAGCTGACCAATCAGCTAATGACACGTAGCCCATGAGAGCCGCTTCTGAAAACTTTGAATTGAGAACCGCCTCTCACCTATTTCACACATTAATAAATAAAATAATAATTTTTTAACTTCAGAACTCTTTAAAATTTTTGTTAAGAAGCCCCGTTGAAGGTGCTCTTAGGTGTCAAATCCGAATACCCTACAATTCAAGAATATACCATAGCAACTTGATGAACAAGTAGATGGAACAAGTTTCCTAGAAAATTCTCGTAATGCTTTGATATGTTCTATATTGATCTTTCTGTATACAAAGCAGAAGTCTCGCAACCATTGTACATCACGAGAAGGATATGCACTTTCAGATCCATTTTACATCATGTGATGCACAAAAATGGAGAGAGTTCGTCAAAGTTTTTGCTATTTGAAGATGATTGAGATGTTGCAAGAGCAACTTTTGTTAGTAGTCATATCATGTTTCATATGGTTAACGTGAGCACGATGGATGAGTTTTGCTTTGTGTACAGCCTAAGAATTGATGCAATGAAGTATATGAGAGGTTCCAATAGAAACTTCAATCCACATCGTCAGCCATACAAATAATCTGTGAAAATCATTACATTCAATTTGTAGTCATTTAATCATAATGTCATTGTTTGTAATGAGACATGTGATTGCTAGATTTGTTTTGTAACTGCTGGTTCAAAGATACATTTCGGTCATTAATTTTGACGACTTGAACGTTGAAAATATAATTTAAATCTTAATCTTCGAAATTTTGTCACACAACAAGTAACCATAAAATGAACATAATTTGGTCCCCAAAGTTAAATGTTGTCCCCGATTTATAAATGATGTAGATTCAAGAACATCAAACACATGTTTTTGTTACTCGTTACCATTTCTTGTAGGCTTATCGAGGATGAAACGAGCATTTCTAATGTCAATCCTGATAGATTAACCCGCACGACAAATTGAGTAACAAGATGATATTAATTTACCAAATTTGTAGTTAATCTGATAACGTGCATGCTGATGCTGAGATTAGGCCGCAAATTTGTGAAAGAGAAAAATACAAAAGAATGAGATTGCCTAAAGAAAATTAGACTCATTGAAACGTGATTAAGGCGTTTTTAACTTTTAATGTGGAAAATGTCAAGTTGACCAGAGAGGGTCCTTGACTATTTCTTTAATTTAATGACACGGCAAATTTCTTATTTTATCTCTCCGAAGGACAAAGAAACTCGTGTCGTTTCGAGTGCTGAACGATGCACGTCAGGCTGTTTTCAATTGCTCGGTGAGAAGAAATACAAAGAATTCTTCACAGGCGTAGCAGAAGTAGAAGCTCAAAGAGAAGAGCCATCGTCTTCTTCTCTCTTCGATTTCGGCGGATTAAGTTTTACGCAGGAGAGGAGAGATGGATCAGATGCTGAACAAAGTGGGCTCTTATTGGTTAGGTCAAAAGGCAAACAAAGAGTTTAACTCCGTCGGTGACGATTTCAATGTATCCTTCCTATTCCTTTCAGAGTTTTCGTTTAACCTTTTGATCGTGTTCCAATCTCAGAGCAAACTCATCGGCCTAAAGTAACCATTTTTATTTAGGGTTTGTAGTTTTTGAGATAGACCTTACAGGTTTCGTGGTCAAAATTCGATTTTTCTTCTTCCTTCTAATGCTTGTTTTGGTCAAGAACTATGCTCAAGAGGGTTAATTGGCTCTCGATTTCAATCGGTTTCGTAATTTCGTAGCTTAATTGAACCCTTTGTTAAATTTGGGGGACATTGCTCTTTAGTGGAAGATCCTTTTAGTTACTGTCTAAAGAAGAAGGTAATTTATTTGTCTTGGATTCCATTATAGTAGTTGATGTTACAATTCGTATATTTGGTAACATTTCATGAAAAAAGTCTATTGCTTCGGATCTCTTTGAGACATAAAAGTGTCCCGAGAGAGAGTCTCTGATGATGTTTAGATGGTTTCTTGCAGTCATTGTCTAGCAGTATTGAAGGAGGTACCAAGTGGTTGGTCAACAAAATCAAAGGTTTGTATACTTCTTCCATTGTTCTGGTTTCATAAGTTTCTTTCATCTTTTGTGTTACTATCATCTCTGCCGTTAATGGTTTTTGACTCTTGAGAGCTCTTTGTTGACTAATAATCATCATACCTTTATCCACTTTCCGCTCTAAATTTGTAGACATGGCATCAAAATTGTGTCTTCTTTTGTTTCTTGTATTGTGTGTTCATCGTTCTTGTTTCTCTGAACAGGAAAAATGCAGAAGCCATTGCCTGAGTTGCTGAAGGAGTTTGGTTTGCCGGTGGGAATCTTTCCACAGGATGCTACAAACTATGAGTTCAACGAAGAGACGAGGAAGTTGACCGTGTTCATCCCTGAGACCTGCGAGGTTGGGTACAGAGATTCATCGGTGCTACGGTTTTCGACGACGGTGACGGGTTACCTGGAGAAAGGGAAGCTAGCGGAAGTGGAAGGCTTGAAGACAAAGGTGATGATTTGGGTGAAAGTGACTTGTATCTCTGCAGAGTCATCAAAGGTGTATTTCACGGCCGGGATGAAGAAAAGCAGGAGCAGAGATGCTTATGAGGTCATACGTCCTGGTGTTGCCGTTGATAAGTTCTGACTTATGGATCACATTATACTACAATAATAAAAAAAACATAGTGTCCAAGTTTTTTTTTTAATGTATGCTATAACTCCTTTTGTGTGAAACTAAATTTGTTTCATATATTCCACCCTCCTAAGCTACCAAAGATTGCAATGCGTAGGTTAAAAGAGGTTATAATCGATAACAAGAGGATTCTTTTTTTCAATTTGTTTATAATTTAAACTAATCCCACAATGATTTAAAAGTCTGAGAATAAGAAACTCAATAGATGCAAAGCACAAAACAAGACATAGTTTTCTGAAACTGAGGGAAAAACAAAAAAAAAACAGCGTTTAAGCAGCTTGTTGAGCAGAAAGCCTCTTCCTAGCTTCCTCAATGATGGTAAGCTTAATACCTTTTCCTTTAGGAAGAGACACCCATGGCTTTGTCCCTTTGCCAATAGTGAAGACATTCCCTAGCCTCGTGGCGAATTCATGTCCCGTCGAGTCTTGAATGTGGATGGTCTCGAAGCTTCCCTTGTGCTTCTCACGGTTCTTGATCACACCAACACGCCCTCTGTTTCTTCCTCCAGTCACCATCACGACATTTCCAACGTCGAACTTGATAAACTCCACGATCTTGTTCTCCTCGAGGTCGAGCTTGATTGTGTCGTTAGGCTTGATGAGCGGGTCGGGGTAACGGATGGTGCGACCATCGTAGGTGTTGAGGTAAGGAATGCCCTTCTGACCAAACTGGATAGTTCTCACTTTGCACAGCTTGAACTGCACACAAACACAGCAAGAAACTCGTTGGATTACATACAATTTCAACACAAAGCTGTAACCATCAAGTAAATGGCGGCAATATCAAAAGGGATTCATGAGATCCAAAACCTTTGCTTCCTCATCCCTGATGGAGTGGAGACGGAAACGTCCCTTGGTGTCGTACAACAGACGAAAGCTCTCATTCGTTTTTGGGATAGAGACAACATCTGTAGAAGAATAATGCAAAAGGATAAGTCACTACTGATCATAGAAGCACCAAACAAAAGAAGAAGAAAAAAGACTTTAGCTTTGACTCACCCATGAAACCAGCAGGGTAAGTCTTGTCAGTCCTGACTTTCCCATCAACTTGAATGTGCCTTTGCATCAAGATCGAAATCACCTCACGGTACGTCAGAGCATACTTCAATCTGTTACGGATGATAAGAACAAGGGGAAGACACTCCCTCGACTTGTGTGGTCCAGAAGACGGCTTGGGAGCCTGAACAGAGAGAGAGAGCGAGATCATTATAAGCATTGAGAAAACACATATCGAGCAAATGAAAGAGATTCAAGAAAAGTGACTTACAAAGGCACCACCAAGTTTGTCAAGCATCCAATGCTTAGGGGCATTAAGCCTCTTCAGATGCTTCTTCAATCCCCTTGCCTGCAGTGAAAAAAAACAATGTTTAAATTATAAAAATTGATTAAACAAGACGTTCCTCAGCAGTATCTTCATGAAGCTCTTCCATTAAAGGTTCCATTTTTTTAAACAGTAGACACAAGTTTGAAGAAGCTACGAACACATGCCATTGTTTGATGCAACACTGAGTTTCTCGAGATCAGTAGGTGAAAAATTACAAGCTTGGTAATCACTATGCATAGAACAACAAGTTTAAACTAATCTCCTGGTTTTCTCGAGTGTTGGTTCTTCTCGAATCACTAAAAACCAAAATTTTCCCAAAGAGACACATTTTGAAGCCTAAAGGTATCCCTAAATCTAGATCAAGACAAACTTATCTTAACGAGAAAAAAAGACGCAAATGGCAAACAGATTTTTGAGATAAGAGGAAAGGAATCATAGATTGAGATTGACGAACCATGTTTGCAGGTGAATCTCCGAATGCGTTCTGATTCCTCCGACGGCTGAAGCAGCCGTTTTCTCTCTCCAGTCACCTTCTTATCTACGAGTATGCTCAGTGAGCCCTAATTTTTTTCAAAGCCCTAAATAAAACTGGGCCGAGAATAAACTTCTTCAGCTGGGAAAAAAACCCGGGTCCAGTCTTCTTCAACAATTCAGAGTTAAATTGCGATTACAAAACGATTAAAGTTAATTATTAGAAGAAAAAAAATGAAAAAGTGTAATACTAGAAAATTTCTAGGCCGAGAACTTAGTTAGCTAGAAGATAAGTGTGTACAGCTAGGGGTGGGCACTTTGGTTTTTGGTTTGGTTTCGGTTTGGTTTCTTCGGTTTTACGGTTTATCAGTTTTACAAAAATTCAAACTATGTAAAAGCTATATATATTTCGGTTCGGTATGGTTTGGTTTTTTACAGTTCGGTTTGATATGGTTTGGTTTCGGTTTTTTTAGAATTATACTATTACAAAAAAATTTGATTCAAACTAATGGAAATAATAATAATAATAATTGCTATGAGTGAAAAAAAAAATTCAAAAAATAGAATCTAAATCATAACAAATTCATCAATAAGGACAGATTTTAAAACAGAGAAACAAACAAATTATCAAATCTTTCATAATCAATAATTATAAAACAATAAACAAATCTAGATTAAAATTTAATACCTATAACCTTGGAACTAGAACTAGAAGACTTGAATATGAAGAAAAAAGAATTAATCACGTTTTTATTAAAAATTTAAGGTTTAATTTATTATATATATGTAGATATTTTTTTATAAATATTATATTTTAAATTTATGAGTTAAGTTAATCATATAAGATATAAAAGTTGATGGCATAGTGCATTGAGAGCGTCCACATGAGATTTAAAAACTCGATATGATTGGTCCACATCAGCATATTCGTTAAATAAAAAAATATTAAGTATGATTAGGACGAAAAAACTTAGAAACTATAAGCCCAATAATAAAATATGTACATAAACTAAATTAAAAAACTAGGAAAATATAAATAATTTAAAATTTAGTTTAAAAACCGAAAAAATCTTTTGGTTTGACGGTTTTTAACCAAACCAAACCTAAACCAAAATTATAAAAAATTGATGGTCAAACGGATTTTTAGGTTTAACCATAACCAAACCATATCACTTTTTTTGGTTCGGTATGGTTTAGTTTTTTCGGTTATGGTTTTTGTGCCCACCCCTATGTACAGCTATTAGTTATTAAGACAAGTATGTTTATTTTTCTTAGTAAAGATTGTATTTTCGAAAATCAAGTTTTTTCCATTTCTGCGTTACTCTCATTCTCATTTTGTAGAAATCACTTAATTCCCACAGAATTCTTTCTTTCATTTCGTCTATAACACACAGTCTGACGAGAGTTTAAAATTTCTTCTTCCATTGGCCAACTATATTTTCAAATTTAAACCAAAAAAAAAAAACTATATTTTCAAATTTTCATAAGAAATTAATATGTGCTTATAATATAAGAATCGAACATGTAATATATCTAACTAGTTACTCAATATTTTGATTCGACCTAATACTGAGTTTAATAAATGCATTTCATCTGCTATTCCTAGCCAGTATTAATTATATCAATATCTATGAAAATATTTTCAGTATTTTTATATATTTGCTTTATTTTTGCTATACTTTTGTTTTATTTTTTATTTTTTTCTTTATTTTTGCTTATTTTTTGTTTAAGAAATTTTTTACATTTTTTCTTAGTAAAGATGTATTTTCGAAAATCAAAATATTTCTCTTTCTTTCATCCGATAGAATTTTTCTTTTTAAACTGTTCTCAAATTAATATTTTTACAAAATATCGTTTCATGATAATATACGGAGAAAAACAAAATATTTCTGATTTTAGAATATGCATCATTAAATATAGGTCTAGATTTAGGTCTAAATCTGTTAATTTATTTTATAACTAGACTTATAATGTGTCAATCTCTTGTACGAAATGTGAGTAGAAGAAATGATGTAGAAATATGAACAACATACGATCTATCAGCAGAAATCGGCCGGGAACTTACGGTTAGTATACTATCTTCTATGACCTACTACAAGTATTTGTGCACGTATTCAAATGATTAATTCAAGAAGTGTTTATAATTGTATACAAATGATTAATACACGAAGTATTTGTACATGTATACAAATGAATAATACACGTAAGTATTTGTATATGTACAAATAATCAATACACGTATATGTACAAATGATTAATACACGTATTCAAATGAATTAGTACAAGTATTTTTACACGTATTCAAATGAGTTAGTACAAGTATTAGTTCCAAGTATTATACAAACAATTACTATACAAGTATAAAACTATTAATACAAAGAATTAGCGTCGTATAAAAAGAAAAAAAACTACTATACTACAAATGATTTTATCGGCTTTAACAAATACTTACTTAATTAGTGTATTAATCGAAAATTAATTAGACAATAAGTTACGAGAATTTAGTCAGGTAGACGACGATAAGTACAGCTATTAGTTATTAAGACAAGTATGCTTATTTTCTTAATAAAGACATGTTTTCGAAAATCAGTACTTTTTTCCATTTCTAAGTAGACGACGATAAGTACATTGTTTCCTTTCTATCCCCCCTTCCCACACAATTAATTCTTTATTTTTGTCAGCAAGAGAGTGTTCTTTCGACTGACTTTTCAAATAGATCTTTTTACAAAATGGAAAAAAGTTATAAAATGTCGCATGAAAACCATATATTTCTGGATGTAGGATCTGCATCGTTAAGTGTAGAGCAGCCTTCGGTTTTGGAGGACCAAGTGGAAACTGTGATATTTGATGATTAATGAATTCTATTTATGTTGTAACGACGACCAAAGCTATCAAATTTGCAAAAGAAATAAAAGTTTATGAATTCATACACTTTTGCGATTCGAGTTCTTACACTGTTGTTGCTATTTTTGTTTTTGTTTTTTTTTTAACTAAACTACATCTGCAAACGTAAGACTGATCGTTACTCACTTTTATGTTTCCTGTTTTGAAAGAGGGAACAAAAATCTCAGGTGTCTGATAATCAATACAACAAACATGAGAAAAATGAAGTTACAGATACAATTACACATTACAAAATAAACAAAAGAAGAAAGAAGCAACACGAAGTGAAACAATCTTTTCTCGTGTTCCCGTTGTCCAGAAAACACTCTGCACTAATTAAACCAGAATCAATCACAAAACCCCAAAGTATAAAGTTTATATTTACATTCTATGTTGCTGCTCCTTTGGTTTGTTTCCAATTCCTTGTATCAAAACTTCTTGATCACAAAAAAAGAACCAAGCTTAGTCTCCCATTAGAATGGATATGAAACGGCATAGAAGCATACAAGTATCTGTGGTTTCAGAGGAAAGAAGCTCTTGCCCTAGTGTAGGAAGGAAGTAAGATTTGCAGACGGGTTTGTCTATGAATGTGGCTCACGTGCTTTGTGATACAGCTCGATAGTATCCGTGTGGCTTGGATCAAGACTCAGAGCTGCTTCACAGTCTCTGATAGCATCTGCGGGTTCACGCATTGAATCGAAGAACGCTGCTCGTAGATGTAAAAGCTGTAGGTCAGGTTTAAAGGCTATGGCTCTTGATAGCTCCTCAATGGCTTCTGTTTCTTTATGGTCGTCCATCAGAACTGTAAACACGATTTCAAGAACAGTAAATAAGAAACAAGGCATGGCTGTGATAAGGGATTAGTTGAAGTGTGTGTTTGGCATTAAGTTCCAAACAAGAACGGTAATAAGAAACAAAGGCATGGCTGTGAAACTTAGCGCACCTGCGGCTCTGTATCGGTAAGGGTAAGTTCTGAGAGGATCTAGCTGTGTGGCCATGCTTAGGTCTCTCTGCGCCATCTCTCGGTCACAATACTCTGAGCGCTTCTCAAACGCCGATGCATTGTTCTGAGCTTTCTCTATCAACTTTGTCATCTCATCATACGCAGCTTTCCTCTGGTTTTTCAGATGGTACACGCGAGCTAGGCCTTGGTGAGCTCGTGTGTGCTTGATGTTTAGCGCGTTCGTGTAACAATCTGCTGCAAGATCCAGCTTATCACAGTCAACATATACACTTCCCAGGTTGTTCAAAGCCTACAAAAACAAAAAAACTTTTCATGATATTGCATCAAAGATGAGAGAGAAATCAAACTTTTTTTTTTTTTTTAACAGTTTCTTGACTTACTTGTCCCTTTCGAAGACCATCTGATGGACACCGAAGTGCTTCTTCAAGAAGCTGGATCACATACTTCGAAGACTCAGGGTCGAGCGTAGAGTCTGCAAGAGCATAAGCTTTGAGGAAATACGCTTCAAAAGATCTTTGTATTGAAATGGATTCCTCGGCCTTGGCCAGTGCTTCCTCACGGTGCCCTGTGTCATACAGTATCCATCCTTCATACACAAGCCTCTCATGCTCCGACTTTGAATGGTTTCGAGCCAGCCTAAGGCTACGCATCGCCGCCTTTTGACAATTTAGCCTGAAATATCAGATGAAACCAACACATCATTATAAGAATCTGTCTCACATATCAAGAACAAGAAAAATATGTTTTTTTCAGTCAAACAAATGGTTTATACCTTAAGAGAAGAAGAGACTGTCTAAAACGCAGGAGGCTCTTCCCTGGATCATTCGCCAACATATGATGAACAACAGCAAGAGATCCGATATCATCAACAGAAGACCAACGATCATAGAGCTGCATCCAGCAATCAGCCTGGTTCCATTGCTGGACCAGCGGGCGGAGGAGCTCCACCATGTGATCGCCATGGATCTTCTTGTTGAACATCAAGAAGTTCGGCTCCAATGTCAAAAGCGCTCGTATATCTTTCAAAGCACCTTCATAGTCCTCCATAGCTATAGAGATCCACGCTCTCATCTCCAAGCAGTCAGGAGAGACCTTAAACCCCATAACCTTGTTCAGCTCCGCGACCGCGGCCACAAACTGACTCTCCTCGACCAACGACACCGCTCGGAATTTGTAAGGGAAAGTCAGAGTCGGGTCCAAGTCGGTAGCAATGTCTATATCGAGCAGCTTCTCTTTGCCGCTGCAGTACAAGGACCTCTCCTGATGCATCCAACCTGTAGCTGAGCAATCCGAGATCAACGAGTTCATGATCTTATAAGCCGAGTAACGATGCCCGCGCTTATACTTAGACCTGGCTACACCAACGAGTGAGTAAACATGACCTGCCTCAACCGCTGAGTCGAACCATCTCTGAGCATCTTTATACTCTTTCCTCTCAAGCATCACAGCTCCTAACTGGTGATAGGCAAGCTGTTTCTGCCAATTCTCAACCGCGGATTCAACCAAACACTCCAAGACCATGACCGTTGTGTTTGATTTCATATCATCTTCCATAGCGATCTGGCTTAAGAAGAGGTACAACGTGAACGAAGCATGACCAACACAGGCCAGTCTCTCCCGTCCCTCACCGCTACAGAAGATCTTGACAACGTTCGGGTTATGCATAGAGCTCGGCAACTCTCTAAGAAACACCTGAAGACAAGCAGCCACAAGAAGGTAAGCAGCTTCTTCTAACCCGTATTCGATCAACAACACCGCATCGTCGAGATCAGTCACGAGACGAGCCAAATGCGAGTCGCAAGCTGATTTCAACTCGTCGCAGCAGAACCGGTTCGCCAACGAGAGGAGCTCCAAGACGACGTTAGGAGGAAAGACGTCGACTTTTTTGATCCTGCTAAAAACCTCGGCGGCTCTCATCCCTTGCACGGAGATTCCGTTCTGTGTGAAGTTGATCGTGCTTCGTTTCATCTCTCTGAAGCCGCCGTATAACATTGCCTTGAAGGGTCTCGACAAAGACGCGATCTTGTACCTCACGCAGCGAACTTCATCATCGCCGATACAGAAGGACATGTCGTAGTCTTCCTCCGATGTCGAACACTCTGGAGCAACATCATCATCGTTGATTTCTGATCTCGACGCGGCGGCGCCGGAGCAGACGCAGTGGTCGTAGACGGATTCCGGGTCGTACCCGGGAACGAGAGTCGCTTTGGGGCATTCCAGATTTCTGCCGCAGCAATCCATGGCGGTTGTCCCAATCAGCTCGTCTTCTCTCCTCTCGTATCGGAGCCAAGAGGCTAATACGACTTTCGTGTGGACGTTAACGGCGTGTTGCCTAGCTGATCGGAGACTCCGCCGGAAAAGTTTCGGATCGGATAACCCCCGGAATATTGCGCATTGCTCTAAATAAGCCTCGGATTTCTCGAATTCCGAGCAATTCTCGATCCGACGGTAGATTTCCGCGAGCTTCTCGATCAAATCGACGAATTTGAGGGAAGGATCGATCTGCGGCTCGAGCAGATCGGCGACGGGGAGTCCGTAAGGGAGAAGAGAGTCCGGCGAAACGACGGCGTTTGTTTGATTCGACGGTGGATAAGTCCGGCTGGTTTTGGATCGGATCGAGTTAACACGAAGATGGTCCTGGAGGTGCTGTAGCAACTTTTCCCCGACTCCTCCACCTCCTCCGGCGCCACCACCGCTAGCCGGAGGAGGTGGCGGCGGAGGAGGAGCCGAAGTATTGAGAGCGTACACCTGCGTGCCTTTACATCCTTCGATTAGCTTCAAACTTCGCATTGTCGTGAACAGATGATTCTGCATCTCTTCAATCAATCCAGAAAACCCAAAATCCGAAAACTTTTACAGGAAAGTTTTCCAAATTTCAAATTTTTCTTTTGAAATCGATAACAATTGAATAATCTCAGAAATGGGTCTCCACTCTCCAGCTAAATACAACGAACAAGATGATTAATTTGGTTGCTGTCACCTTAAAACAATCCCAGATTTTCGATTGATTCAATGGTGTAATCGGGAAAGATTATAAGAGATGACTGCCAAAAAAAAATCCACCGGACCTCTCAACCGGAAACCACCCGCGAAGAAAGAAAAAAAAATCTCTCCTTCTTCTCCTTCTCTCTCACCGATTAATCGGATTGCTTAAATTCTGACTCTTGTTTATCAGAAAACGTGTTTTTTTTTTTTTGGCAGTGTAACTTTCATCAATTCCAATCTTCTCTTTCGTTGATTCCCACTAATTTTTGTGATTTCTCCCCGTAAAAGTAGAGAGAGGGTAATTGGAGGAATGATCTTCCTCCTCTCTCTCTCTCTCTCTCTCTCGCTTTCTTTCTTTTTTTCTCTCTCTTTAGCTTTTGGTTTCTTGTTTTTCTCTTTCTGTTTTCATAGTCATTCTAATAATGCAAATGTTACTTATTTATGTGTGTTATGTCATTTATGTGTTCCTTATCTTTTGGGGTCTTCGTCTTTTTATTTCCTTTAACTGATGATACTGATTGGTTTGGTCTTATTATAGCTGGAAATAAAAACCAGGGTGCATAATCTTCATGTCACTTGACTTGCACGCTTATTTTAAATACATATATAGAAAAAAATAACTGAAATGGGCCTCGATAGACCCAACTGAACAAAAGCTTAACAAGATGGACATGAAACAACAATTGGCTAAAAAATGTTTACAATGATCTTCCATTTTTGTAGTTTTGCGCCTCTGATGATGATGATGGTGTAACATTCACCAGGGGTTTGAGTGATTTCTTGAGATTAATCAATCCTTCATTACCGTTTACAACTTGAACAAACAAGACACACTTGGTTCTTCCACCTACTGTCATGATCTCAGCTCTCACTGTCTTTGCTTTCGCTGCTTTCATTGACTCTGCAACTTCCGACATTAGTCCTTCTCTGTCGCTACAGCTGAACACGACTCTAGCCAAGTCTCTGTTGTTACAGTGACCTAATCTCAAGTTATCTTCTAAAGCTGGTGTGTTTGGTATGTCTTTAACCACCTTTTTCAATTCGTTCAAATACCTAACAGTCTCTCCTAACACATACGCTTTATTCTTCTGTTTGATTCCATATAAACTTAAAAATGTGTTAAAAATGCATTTTTTTGTTTTTTTTGTAATTGAGTACATGCATAACTAAACTTACTTTGACCAAGTTTGGAAGAATTGTGCGAAGAGTTGCGAAATGGTGGTTAAGTCGAATCCTTCTTCTTCTCTCTGCGTCGCTGTGTTTCTTTGCAGCAACTTCCTTAGATTCGATTAACGAATTTGGTTTTGCCGCTGAAAATTTTCTGGAGAATAGCTTGCTGCTTGTGGTTGCACCTGTGAAGAAATTTGTTGCCCTTGTTGTTGAATACGTTGTTGGATTGTAATACCGAGAAATTGGATGCATCCCTTGCTCTAACTGTGAGCACATGTGAAAAGAAAAGAGATTGATTCAAAGAGGAAGAAAACAGAGAAGACGAGCTTTGATTGATATAGAGAGGATGTAACATAGAAACTTACATGTTTAAGTAAAACCATGGCGATATTGAGACTTAATGGTTAAAACAATGGAGGGAAATGTTGATTATTCTATGTAAATATAAAGAATAATGATAAAACGATGGAGGGAAAGATATGGAGAAGATCCCAAAGGTAATAATTTGGTGATTAATGAGAAATAAACACGAGAATATATTGTAATGAATACAATAAATGATGAAAATCCATTATTTGCTTCCAAATATGTAAAACACAGTCAGTGCAAACAACTAGGAAAAACAGTGTAATTCAATTTTCTACAAATTCTGATTGAGCTTTACGTCGGCTTTAAGCTAAAGTTCTTTTTATTAACATATTTTTAGTCTGCGCTGCTCACAATATATAACTTTTCTAGTTTATAATTTGGATCACACCATTTCATATAGTTTGGGCTAAGGCTTCAATAGAGGCAAACTCTATTTTTGATATATGTCCGATCCATGTGATAGTTACACAATAGTTTGGTAATAAATATTGTTCATTTTTTTGCGAAAACATACAAGTGGTAGGATTAGAAGAATAAAACGATATTCAGACGTAATTAGACCGGTGAAATGTAAACATCATGAACGTATGTGACAAGAATAATAAAAGGGCATACTCAAAAGAGTATAGAATTGAAAATTTCATCAGATTCGTCATATAAACATGTATTTTTTTTTTTCTATTTCGATTTCGGTTTGATAAGGACTGAGGTATATAGCTAGCAGAATAATTTTTCAGCTACCGAATCGATACATTTTTTAAATAAAATTAACATTCGATACACTTTGAGCAACTTCTGAAATTTGAAGGGCCATCTTCGGTTTTTTATATTCACTACAAGAAAATATACGATTTGCGTCAGTAATATTGGTCGCAAGTCCGTCGCAAAAGGTATATTGCGACGGAGTCCAAAACGTCGCAATTCTTTAGCCGTAAATCTAAAATTGTCGTAAAAGTGTTACAAATTTTGCGACAAACGAAAAACAACGCAAACCGGTCGCAAATTTTGCGACGAGCAAAGCACGTCGCAAATATTGCGAGCAACACAATATACCGTAAGAACGTCGCAATCTCCGTTCATCACAAATTTTAGTGGACTGACCTTATAGCCTTCGTTGCAATCTCCGTTCATCACAAATTTTAGTGGACTGACCTTATAGCCTTCGTCGCAAGTCCGTCGTAAATATTACAATAAACTTGCGACTAACTATATATCGTTCGTCGCAAATCCGTCGTAAATATTGCGACAGACTTGCGACTAATTATATATCGTTCGTTGCAAATCCGTCGCAAATTATTAAATATTTTATATAAAAAAATTAACAAAAAAAAACATAAATACCAACCAAAATATATTAAATTAATTTATAAAACTAACAAAATATATTAATTTAAATTATAAAAATTGAATAGTTTGAAAATCTAACAAAAAAATCGATTTTATATCTAATAATTTATAAATCTAACAAAATTAAAACCTAAATCTAATAAGTTATATAAATAAATCTGGCAAATTCCAAATCTAAATCTAACCATTCATCAATCTAACAAAATCAAATCCAAAATCTTACAAAACATAAATACTAACAAATTCAATATTTAACAATGTTTCTCTCTTTCTCTCTATTCAATAATCAAATTCAAAAATTGTTAGAGTTTGAGAGAGAGAGAAAGATAGAGAAAGGTAGTGAGGGACATAGAGAAACCAGAGATGTGAAGAAGAACTAGTGTGAAGAGAAGCAGAAGAGAGGGAGATAGAGTGGCTAAGAGAAGAAAAATAGATATAGAGATCGAGATCGAGAGAGGAAGAGAAGAAAAGAAGCAGAATCAATATAATAACAGATATTGCGACGGATTTGCGATAATCTATCTAATAAAATTTTGTGCGCATTCGTCAAATTTTCTTTGAAAATTCAAAATATTTCGACCAAAAATTTCAAAAAATTTCAGTTTGCGAGGCATTTGCGACGGATCCGTAGCAAATCCGTCGCAAATTTCATATTTTCCTAAAATATCGAAAACACTATTAAAATAAATGTAAGTTCATTTAATAATGATTCAAAGTATGTATAATCAAAATAGATGATGTTTTAGTGATACCATATCTTAAACTTGAAAAATGTATATCATATTAAAATCAAGATAGGTTATAATTAATGTTAAAAGATTAAAAGAGTTATAAGAAAAATGCTTATATATAAGTTTGAAAATATATATTTTTAACAATGTACAATTGTTTGAAAATATATACTTTTAACAATGTAGAATTGTTTGAAAATTTATAATAACTATAAATTTGATTGTATGAATAAACACTTCTAACTATATTAAAACAAAATTGAATACATTTATATGTCTTTTTGTTTGTTTTATATAAAATCAAAAACTTAAAACCTTAAACCTTTACAAATAAATTTTTTTGAGACAGATTTGCTACGGATCCGTCGCAAATCTCTTGCAAATTTTTGGTTTGCGACGAACTTGTAATGGATCCGTAACAAATCCGTCGCAAATTAATGTTTGTCAAACATATCGAAAACACTTTTTAAACGAATTTAAATTCATTTGATAATCATTGAAAGTATGTATAATCAAAATATATGATGTTTTAGTGATATTATATCTAAAACTTGAAAAAATTATATGATCATATTAAAATCAAAATAAGATACAGTTAATGTTAAAAGATAAGTAAAAGAGTTAGAAGATAAATGTTTATATACTTTTAACAATGTATAGTTGTTTAAAAATTTATAATAGCTATAAATTTGATTGTATGAATGAACACTTCTAACCATATTAAAATAAAATTGAATACATATATACGCTGTTTTGTTTGTTTTATATAAATCCTAAACCCCAAACCCTAAATTTTAAACCCTAAACCTTTACAAAAAAAAATTGCGGCGGATTTGCTACGGATCCGTCGCAAATCCCTAGCAAAGTTTTGATTTGTGACGGACTTGCGATGGATCCGTCGTAATTCCGTCGCAAATTTTAAATTTGTCAACAATATCGAAAACACTTTTAAAACGAATTTAAATTCATTTAATAATGATTAAAAGTATGCATAATCAAAATATATGATGTTTTAGTGATACCATATCTAAAACTTGAAAAATGTATATGATCATATTAAAATCAAGTAGGATATAGTTAATGTTAAAAGAGAAGTAAAAGAGTTAGAAGAAACGTTTATATACTTTTAACAATGTACAATTGTTTAAAAGTTTATAATAACTATAAGTTTGATTGTATATATGAAATACACTTCTAACCATATTAAAAAAAAAACTGAATACATATATACGCATTTTTGTTTGTTTTATATAAAATCCTAAACCTTTACAAATATTTTTTTGCGACGGATTTGCTACGGATCTGTCGCAAATCCCTAGCAAAATTTTGATTTGCGACGGACTTGCGATGGATCTGTAACAAATCCGTCGCAAAATTTAATTTGCCGAATGCATCGAAAACACTTTTTAAAACAAAGTTAATTAGTAATATATATATAATCAAAATAGATGATGTTTTAGTGATACCATATCTAAAACTTGAAAAAAGTATATCATATTCAATAAATTTAAATTCGTTTTAAAAAGTATTTTTGGATGTTTTGGATAAATTCAAAATTTGTTTTCATAACCTAATACAGTAATACTCGCAAATCTCTTGCAATGCGGTTGCAAATATACTGCATCACAAATTAGTCGCAATTCGCGATGTACTTGCGACATGCTTTTTACCTACTGTAAATACGTAGCAAAGTCGTCGCAATTTGCAATGACTTTGCGATGAACAATATTTTTGCAAATTTACGATGGATTTGCGACAATAAAAAATATGTAGTAAATCCGTCGCAAATCCATCGCAGATTTGCGAGGAATATTCTCCGTCGCAAAATTCTGACGCAAATCGAGTGTTTTCTTGTAGTGATTTCTTTTGTGTGCGGTAGCTACATGTTATTTCTATAGTCTCGGTCAACTTTTAAACCTATAATATAAACCATATTCAAACGATAGAGATGTTTAGTCTTCACTAAATTCATACGTAAAAACAATCTATACATGAGGGTTTTACAACAACAAAAAATCAGCTACACAAATACATACATTCTTTAATGTACTATTCCGCTATTATTTTACCATTTAGTAGGGTCATCAAATTTTTACATTTTTTTCTAAATAAATTTGGTTATGTACAATGAGTGTTAACTGGTAGAGTCATCAAATTTGTAGTAATAAAAATTGACAGGTAGAGGTTGACTTCACAGTTCACAGGTTGGGTGTACAAGAATCTTGTCAGGATATACCTACTCTTATGATATCTTCTCACATAAATATCAAAATTAATATAAACCATATAATAAATGAGAATTAAACAAAAATATTCGTTCAGTTAAACAATGTATAGTATGAACTTGTATAGGTATTTATGAATTCAGGATTTATAAATTTAATTCTACGTATATAGTTAAATTAATTTAAAAAATTACGTACATTGAAACAAACAAACAAAAGTAAAACTATGATAATTAATTCACGGCTTCGCATAACCGCATAAAACTATCTATAGTCTATAGAACTACATAATCCCGTCTAATAACAACTTCCTAAATCACTTTTACATCAACATACCTACATTTCTAAATGCGCATTAGAAATGGGTATGTACGTTAAACAGGGATCAACCAGTTTATGTTGGGTCACGACTTTTTGAAATTTTTTACATTTGTTAAGTGTTGTACTGAAACTTTGAGTTTTATTTAAACCACAATCCTGCCACGTACAAAATTGGTTCTAGATCAAATTCACCCGATCAAAACATCTAATCGATTTATCTGTTAAATAAATAAATTGCTGAAAACCGAAATGTCTAGTTCTGTTCCAACACTACATTTATAAAAGGATTTGAAAACCAATGCATTGTACGTAACTCTAGATTTATAATAGATGGAATTAGCACTTTATCCATGTACAAGCATATATATCTAGTAATCTAGATGTGCCTACAAATAGCAAGTATATATGGATATCTACACATACATGTATAGACGTGTAGAAGCAGAGGGAAGATGGAGACGAAGAATATTAAATGTAGAGAAGAAAAGGGTGACGACGAGAAGCTTGTGAAGGATCGATGGGAAGCCTCTTTACACGTGGGGGGGAATGACGAAGTTCTTCTTTTTTTCATTTTCATCGAGGCTTACAATTTCCTCCATTCTTTCTTTTCCTCTCCCTCGACAACTTTTGTTTTTTGGTTTCACATCTTTATTTTGAACTTTTTCACAATTCCGTGATGATAGTTTTATTGGAGTTTAACGTATACTCATCTGGAAACCAAAGATATAACAAAAACATTGTGATTGAAATTTACTATAGAAACAATATAAATATTATACAATCTTCATCTACTTTTTGTAAGACGACAAATCTATTAATATAGGTCTGATATATATATACATATCTTGCGGGGGTTTTTTTTGTATGAATATCTTGTGGGTTATTATCATGTTCTTTTATAATTGCAATCGAACTTCGCTTGTAAAATAGATTGTTCATTTGTTCCAAACGTATAACTTCTTTTTGTAAGATATATCATATATACTATATTCTTAAAACATTTTTTAGAAGAATGATGTAAAAAAAAACTCGGCTCAACTAACAACGCTATTCATCGCTTCACGGGGTCGGATATGTATCTTAAACCAAGCAAGGACCACTAACTAGTTTTTTGGTTTAAACATAAAATTAATTCTCTGATACGAATATGAAAGACATGTATTTTTTTTTTTTTTTTTTTTTTTTGCAAGAGAAGAGCAAGGCCCCGTGATTCCCGTTAGAGAAAAAAGAAATGTTTCTGTGATGGGGTCTACATCAGAGACAGCTGAGCAGTCACACGCCTTGTAATCGTAATTTATTCGTCTATCTACCACGATCCCTCTTCCATTTTTTGCCTTTTACATTTAATGCCATGCAAAAGTAAAACCCTAAATCTCATCATCTCATCAACCCCCTTTTTGTGAATATTGTATATTTGTATTCATTCATTGACCCATGTATTAGCTATTGTAATTTCTGAACGAGTATGCCAAAAGACTCATGAGTAGCTGTAATGATTTGAGTAATTTACATATAAGCAAGTTTCCATCAGAGTTGATCACTGATATGAAATTTTACTCCTACTGTTCTTCAAAATTTACTCATATGGGAACATAGAGTGTATTGAACGCCAGTTGATCGTTACATTACTGCAAATCAATAATAAATAAATCCATTGCAAAGATATTAATTTTCTGTATACACAGTATTCTGTCGTCTGTTTACCTTGATAAATTAATGTTTTTTTAAAATAAAATTATTGAAGTCACGTACTGAATGTCTGAATCTTCCAAAGCGTTGAGGATCGAAAATAAAGTTGCAACAACAAAAAACAGATAAAAAAGACAATTAAGTAAAAAAATAAATCCGATCATGAACGAGCTTGGACATTAATTGACAAAAGTTTTCATTAATTCAAGTTCTTGAAAGTTGCAATCCTAATTCCGACAAAACTACTCTAAGGTATACAGTATTACTATATTTTTATGAATTCGATTTAGTATTAAATTATTTTTTTTTTCTGGAATTGTATCATCATATTTTTAATTCTCGATGTCTTGTTTGTTTCTACACTCAAATAATATCTTGATTATAGTAATGCGATATATATAGAGTGTTCCCAATAAATAAATTTTATTTAATTACATCTATCTTTGTATTCGAAACTCTAGTTTGACGAATGAAGGGCAATATAACACTGCCAATGATATTAGCAAAAGAGCCTAATTTCTATCACTCAGGTCGTTCTTTAGCCTTGGCGACACAATATTATAAAACAAGTGTTAGTGTTACTTATATTTTTGTTGGTATGTTATAGGTGAATATTTTCAATTGATCTATCTTAAAATAATATTTTTCTCCCTCCATGCTTAATACTAATCATGCAGTCATATAGCACTATTAAATATAAATATTTATATATATAGAGAGAGCTGTCTATAGAAGAAAAAAGCCAAAATGAATTAGCTGGGAACAGAAAAGAAACACTTTTTAACATCTGCAACAAGATTTAGGTGAGGGTTTGTCTACATGCCCCGGGAGGAGAGAGAGATAGTAGAGAGAATCTGAAGTGTATCTTGATCTAGGGTTTCTCATTGACACATACCAAATCTCCATGCTTTGAACTAAGCAGAATTCATCTTGTCTTTTATCTCTCTCATTTCAAACCAAAGGATGGATCTATCCACTTGTTCCAGAACCTTTATCTAAAGTCTTGACCCCTTCATATCTCCCAGCCTTTACATTTCTATCTTTCTATTTTGTTGTGAAGTCATAGAAAAACAATAGAAGAAGTGAAAATGATCCCAAGTATAGAGGGAGGCAGGAAGACTGACAGGGAAGAAGAGGAGGAGGAGGAGGAGGAAGAAGAAGAAGATCAAGACGGTGAAGGAGAAGAAAGTAAGGTCTCAAGCAATAGTACAGTAGAAGAGATTGATAAGAAGACGAAGGTGAGGCCTTATGTGAGATCTAAAGTCCCTCGACTCCGGTGGACTCCTGATCTTCATCTCCGCTTTGTCCGCGCCGTCGAGAGGCTTGGAGGTCAAGAAAGTACGTCCTTAGTTACTATCTTTATCAACTCTTCCAATTATAAATCTCAAGCAATTCCTTGGTTATTCTTAGTTTAACTTCTTACCAAATTTTCGTGTTACCTTTTTCTTTCTTAATGATAATTTTGTTTTTGGCTATGTATAGGAGCAACTCCAAAGTTGGTCCGTCAGATGATGAACATCAAAGGACTTAGTATTGCTCATGTCAAGAGCCATCTACAGGTACTTGATGATCTATACACTTATACATACATATATATATATACATGTGTTGTATTGTCGGGTTTTCTTTTTTCAAAGAATCTGTGAAATTACACAAAGTTTCTCATTAAGTTGTATATTGGGGAAATTTAGATGTACAGGAGCAAGAAGATGGATGATCAAGGTCAAGGTATTGATTCTTTCTCTTTCTGTTAACCAGTTATCAAGTTTAACATATATGTGCATAAAGATTTGTTAGCTCATAAGGTGTCCCTTAATTGTTGGCAGCCATAGCTGATCACAGACATTTGATCGAGACTTCCACAGATCGAAATATTTACAAACTAAGTCAGCTACCGATGTTCCGAGGCTATAATCATAACCATGATTCTACATTCAGGTTTATATTATTTTTTATAAAGTTACAGATTATTTTTGTCTTCCATCATTTTATTGATATTCCATATGATCTTTATAACCTTGATACTAAATTAATAGTCCTCCATTTTGTTAAACTTTTTTTTTTTTGTAGATATGGAAGTAAATCTTCAAATGCTTCATTGTGGAACTCTACCTCTCACGAAACGAACCGGAGCTTGATAGATAGGCCCGGTTTAGTTCGCGGCTCATTGGTTAGCAATAACATTCGTGGTAGTGATTATTGGACTAACAACAGGTCTTTCCACAACATCTACTCCTCTTCAATTTCTAATCACTTGCCGAGACTAAGACACAATCATCAAGAACGGACCAACTCAATCACATTCAGCAGCATTCAAGAACACTCAAGAACGTTAGAAAAGATCCCGATCGGTGTTGAAGAGAGCACCAATTATACTTATTGTAACAAGACAACGGGCAAAAGAAACGCAGGTACAAGCATCGATCTTGATCTTGATCTCTCTCTAAGAGTACCCGAGACGACTATTTCGAAAGAGACAGAAACAGCAGCAACAACAACGGATCAAACGTTGTCCTTGTCGTTATGTTCGGGCTTGTCTTCATGGAAAAAGAGCCGAGTGATCAAGACGGATGAAGAAGATCGGACGGTTAAGATTGGACAGGCAAGTACTCTGGATCTGACTCTATGAATTATAGTTAAGAATGGGACAAATTCTAAGTGAGATCTTGAGGTACTTATCCGATATTTTAATATTCAGTGTCTTTGTTGTTAATTATTTCTGTATCTTATTTATTACTCCTTAGAAAGGAAACAAAAAGGTCTGAATATATAACCGTTTTGAGTTTGTTTGATACCGCCAATTTGTATCATCACTTATATAAACAAATGGCACTAGGCACTAGCTTACATAGTGATTCGATCTTTTGTCCGTCTCCTTCCCATGCATTCATATATATAAAATAAAATATATAATACATGCAATGCAACACGATGAATTTACATAGATTATTTTTGTTTAGACTGTATTTACCAAATGATAACCTAAAGAGAAATCCGGTAAATGACAATGATGCTTTTTTTTTTGGATGATACACATTGTTTTTAAATAGTACTAATATAAAATTTAATGTCGTTTTTGTTCTTCAACATTTGACTATTATGAGAAATGTGATTTGTTTAAGGCACATTATTGTCATTTATATAATTTGTATCTACAATTTTGTCATCCCACATAATTAATTAATCATAAATTCATATAAGCTGGTGTCTCCTCCATTTGTATATGAGAATTTTTACCTAAATATTACTCTAGATAACGGTTTATGGTTGATACGGTGATGGTTTCCCATTCGATATCTCTTCCCTTTGGTTTGAATAATCATTGTGATGGATTTTTCCAGTAGACACAGTACCAAGAGAGGACATAATATGATACTGTTTGTTGGGCTAACATTGGGCTTTAATAAAATTTTTCATTTAGAGACTGATATGGCTTTGTGTATTTAGATGCATAATCTAGATGTAAGCATTGAGTTGAGATTGCTTTTGTTTGATGCACAAACGACATCAGTCTCCGATTCCATGTTTAAAGTGAACGGTTTAAATTTCCCACTCTATACTTGTTAGATTTTCTATAGTGAATTGTTTAAATTTTATGATCTCATCCACATTCATTTTAAATTAAAAACTAATTATTAATTCACAAGTCACGAATTTTTAAGTACACCAGTTTTATTCAAAAATATTGGAGGATTTAGATGGTGTCATTTGTCCACATTAATTAAATAACCAAAAAGACCTGGCAATAATATTCGTTGAATCAATTGTTTCTAAGAACATTGATCTAATTGTATCTCCAATGGGATTATTGCGAAGTTTCATTCTTTAATATGGTGGTACTTATTATATCCATATGAATTCGACGTCGTTAATAGTAGAACGTTGATACTGTTTAATTGATTCTATATAACTTCGACGTGCCAGATACAACGTTCGAGCCAGTATCAATTTAGATATTTTTCAAACAAACAAATGAATCTATGCTTCTTAAACATTCGTTATGTACTTGTGTCACTGTCTCACTGGTCAACAACTTCTTCAGTTTTCTTTATCAACAGCTTCTACAATATGTCAATATCAAACATGGCCGCACGATCGAAATTGACGAACGCAAGTACCCAAAATTTGGAATCGTATGTATAGTCTTCCACTTCTACCTAGTCGTTATTTTGGTACCGAACCGAGAGACTAATGTACGAAAATATATGAATTTCGCAATAGCTAAAGAGAAAATGCATTAAGTGAAAGCATCCTAATGGTCAGGGGTGTAATAGTGTCGTATCTGTTTATGTACCCTCTAATGTCTTTTTAAAAAATTAAATAAATTTTCAAACTACATGTACAACCAAATTAGTCCTTGCAGTACATGGATCAATCATCTTTGATATCCCAGGCAGCAACTACGACAAAATTGTGTCAAAATGTATCTTAATCACAAATTTATCTTAAACTAGTTTGTAATGATTATGTCGCTCACTTGTTTCAATGATAAATTTAAAAAGTTTCAGAATGTCGTAAAATCTGTATTTTACTTAGAAAAATATAGGTCTAAAAGTTTACTCATTTCTTCTTACACGTATAAAGGTCTTGGTGGGATAAAGGAAAATTATTCTAACAAATCCTGAAAATAAAATATATGATTTCTATTAACTCATTCAAAATCTTTGATTGGTCCATGATATGATCAAGGTCCACATCTTATCTCAATTCGTTTTTTTTTTGTTCGTATATACCAAAATTTTCGATGACACTGTTTTGTATTTTGGTTTTCAAAGTCATTTTAGTTTCTGCAACGCGATAATTATGCAAGTAGACAAAACAAAACAAAAAAAGAAGCTTCACTGAAATATTTTGAAAGAATGAGAAACATATCCATCGAACTTCGAAGACTTTTCTTCCTTCAAAATGTACAACAAAACACCAAACCCAACTTGTGACTTGTCTAGTTTCCACACATTATTATAATTAAAGGTATTCACACCTACATTTTCATGCTTTTCCACCATTGACTATAAACATTACAAACAAAGAAACCTCAAAACAACAACAAAAAAGTCACCAGGATCGTCATCAACTCCGGCAAAGAGAAGGAGAAAGAGAGAGATAGACATGGCCATGGCCGGAGCTTACGCTACGAACTTACCGGGGGTTCCTGAATGGCTCAACAAAGGAGACAACGCGTGGCAGCTCACGGCGGCGACTCTTGTCGGTCTACAGAGCATGCCAGGTCTCGTCATCCTCTACGCCTCCATCGTGAAGAAGAAATGGGCTGTGAATTCAGCTTTTATGGCTCTTTACGCCTTCGCCGCCGTTCTCCTCTGTTGGGTCCTCCTCTGTTACAAAATGGCTTTCGGAGATGAGCTTTTGCCTTTCTGGGGCAAAGGTGGTCCTTCCTTCGATCAAGGATACCTTAAGGGACAAGCCAAGGTCTTTGAAATCTGTTAATGCCCACAAGGTGTTTGATAAAATGCCTGAATGAGATTTTTTTTGTGGTTGTTGACTCTTTTGTTTTTTGTTTTAAAATTTCTTTCAGATCCCAGAAAGCATCAGGTGGTTTGCGAACGGGACGATAGAGAGAGAAGCGACGACGCCGTATTTTCCGATGGCGACTCTGGTGTATTTTCAGTTTACTTTTGCGGCGATAACGACGATACTTGTGGCCGGATCTGTTTTGGGGAGGATGAATATCAAAGCGTGGATGGCTTTTGTGCCATTGTGGCTCATCTTCAGCTACACAGTCGGAGCTTATAGTTTATGGGGCGGAGGGTTTTTGTATCACTGGGGAGTCATTGATTATTCCGGCGGATATGTTATTCATCTCTCCTCTGGTGTTGCCGGTTTCGTCGCCGCTTACTGGGTACGTTTTTTTTTATATATAATTTAATCTCCCTAATTTATTTATGTTGTTTTTCTCGAATTACATTAATTTTGTCATCAAAACAAATTAGAATTTTTTTTTTTTTTTGGGCTGTAAATTTTAGGTACATTCGTTAGAGGATTTGAGTTAGTTTATTTAGTTAAAACGAATCATAGAGTTAAATTGTCAGGCTAATTTTTTGTTGTTTATTACCACAAATAAATACTAATAATTATAATTAATGTACGGTAGACGACATGGTCATAGACTTTGAAAATTTCTTAAGTATATTACGATGTAGACGGGTCCTTAATTGCCAAGTTTTGTGTTAATTTCTCTTTCGAGATGATTACGTATTCAAATTTCAAGGTTTGTGTATATCAGTTTAATGATTGATCAGTGAGTCCACTGACAAAAAGTAATTAATATGAAAGTCATGGATAAATTATATAAAATCATTTTAGGATTTGACAACACTGATTTTGACTTATATATATAGTATTGGCATCTCAGATATATAATTAGAGAAGAGTAATCATTTCCATGTAAATAATATCCGTTTTTGCCTAATACCTAAACTTTGATGGAAATAATTAGCGAGCGGATTTTGTTTTACGAGCATAAGCAAAAAGGTAGAAGTCAATTCAATTCCACATGACGACGACATAGTAGTCTACATAATATTATAATTTAACAAAACAAAAATATAATAATGCAAAAGAAAATGGTTAGTTAAAAAAGCAAACACTAGCTAGAGTTAGAAGAAATAGTCGCAAGTCTAAGTCGTACCATGTTGATATATCGATTTGAGTATAACGCAAACATAAATGCGATTTGTGTGACGTATTATTGTAGGTGGGACCCAGGCCCCAGGCTGACAGAGAGAGATTCCCACCGAACAATGTTCTTTTAATGCTCGCCGGAGCTGGGCTTCTATGGATGGGGTGGTCCGGTTTTAACGGCGGAGCTCCATACGCCGCCAACTTAACTTCCTCAATCGCGGTGCTCAACACCAACCTCTCAGCCGCCACAAGCCTCCTCGTATGGACCACGCTCGATGTCATCTTTTTTGGCAAACCTTCTGTCATCGGAGCCATTCAAGGCATGGTCACTGGTCTCGCCGGCGTTACTCCCGGAGCAGGTCTCAATCTCCTCATCTCATATATTTCTTTTGTTCTATGATTTATAGTTAATTATTATATTATCAATGTGGGTACTAATCATTTATTTATACTACTAATAAACGAATTATATTGCAGGGTTGATCCAAACATGGGCAGCTATAATAATTGGAATATTCTCAGGATCAATTCCATGGGCCTCTATGATGATACTCCACAAGAAATCCGCTCTCCTTCAACAGGTACATCATCTTCAACCTTCTAAGTTAAAAAAAGTTAAAACCTTATTATTTTTCCTTTACCATTAGTGTTGTATAAACAAAGAATATTAGATTCTTTTTTTACATTTTTTTTTTCAAATTTTTTTAGTATTCTTCCTTTACAAAATTCTATTAAACCACATTCTTCATTTTCACATTTTTTATGTAAATGTATCAATTGTAGAATTAACCTACTTTTTATTAAATACAAAAGTAAAATAAAATCTGAAATGTCATATTTTGATTGGATGAAACAAACAGGTTGATGATACATTAGCGGTATTCTACACGCACGCAGTAGCAGGAATACTAGGTGGAATAATGACCGGCTTATTCGCACATCCTGATCTCTGCGCCTTGTCACTTCCTGTCCCAAACACCAACGGAGCTTTCTACGGCGGCAATGGCGGCAAACAGCTTTTGAAACAGTTGGCCGGAGCTGCTTTTATCGCTGCCTGGAATCTTGTGTCGACGACTCTTATACTACTTGCTATCAAGATCTTCATACCGTTGAGAATGGCCGAGGAAGAGCTTGGGATTGGAGACGACGCTGCTCATGGGGAAGAAGCTTATGCTCTTTGGGGAGATGGAGAGAAGTTCGATGCCACAAGGCATGTGCAACAGTTTGAGAGAGATCAAGAGGCTGCTCATCCTTCTTATGTCCATGGTGCTAGAGGTGTCACCATTGTTTTATAAAAAGAAAATTCTTCTCTTCTAATTTTGGTGTTAATGGTTTTTATGACGTAGAGACATTCATGAGTGATGTGTTTTGTATAGGTGGAATCTCTAAATTCAGATATTTTTTTATTGATTTGATATATTTGAAGTTATCAACCATTTGTTATTTTGTTGAAACGATAGATTTAACTTATGGTTTTTGTTGCAAGAAATGTCATTTATTTTAGTTTTCTTTGTGCTAATACCACTTTAGAATTTGCTGAATAACTTTTTAACATAGTGAATGTTGAAAAAGAACCACCACTATATTTGAAAAATTTAAACAGTAATAGTTTGAATTAAACTTGACCGCTCATGAGAAACGTATGTAGATGATGAACGAGTAAGGGAGACATCGAAACCGAATAAATACAAACAAATTAAGATACCAAAGATGTAAAGAAACGAAAATCCAATACAAAATATAGCTTGGTGATCTTTGTTTTCTATTGTTATTATTTTATATATCGGATTTCAGCTAGTTATACAGACTTTCGCGATGGCACTCTTCTACTTTTATAGTGATAGAATATAATTTGTCTTCAGAAAATGTTTTTTTTTTTCCATTTTCTAATTATTTTCATTAGATGGAACATTAGATACAATTAATAAAGATTTAGTTTCTGTTTGCCAAACATGAACTTGAGCCTTACGAAGCAAAAAAAGTTTAACTTTCCTTCCTCCTGTTCCTCTCTCTCAAAGGTAAATTGAATCTAATCACTTCAATTCCAGTTGCAAAAGATGAAATCGCATTCAAGCATGGGGAAGATGATTGCGTCTTTATCTCTTATATATTTATATACGGTATAACATTGGCCAATACGGAATGTGTTGTTTAGGTGAGTTTTAGTCGGATATAGTGTGAAATAGTATTTGATAAAAAAAAGTGTGAAATAGTATAACTAATGTTAAAATTGTATCTATTGATTTTTTTTAAAAAAATACACAAATTGGTTAAAATAGACAAACAAATAAGCAAAATGTAAGAAAATTAAGTATAAGAAAAAAAATAAGAAAAACATAGGAAAATATAAACAAAACATAATAAAAAACATAAGAATATATGAGCAAAAAAATAAGAAAGAAAAGATGAAAAATAGAAAGTAATGAGATGATGTGCAACAAGATTAGACAGTTTTATTGATAAATAAATTTTACATTAGAAAAAGTTAATGTTCAATAATATATATATATATATATATATAACTTTTGAATTTATTAATAATGACAAGAATATAATCACTAGTTTCTAAAAAGGTAATCACTGATTTTTGAAAAATGTCGGTTTCATTCGAATTCCTCAAAACCATCAGTCTCGGCTCTAACACTTGATCGAAATTCAGAATACTCTTCGTTGCTGTATTGACCTATTATCTCGAGCATAACAAAACCTTATTTCAACTTTGTATCATATCATATATATATGGTATCTCCGCTATAAGTAATTTAATGAACTTGTGTAACAGCTAACAAGTAATTTAATGAACTTGTGTAACAGCTAACAAGTAATTTAATGAATGAAAGATATTATTTTTGTAACTTGTGTAACAGCTAACAAGTAATTTAATGAATGAAAGATATTTTTTTTTTTCACTATTTATAATATATTTTTTACTCATATGTCCCAGTGTCTCAGTAAAATGTCTGATAGTGTATTGGATTCAGTTAGCAAGCTTATCAAAAAGTTATCCACCAAAATAAGGAGAGTGTTAAAAGTTGACCTAATAGACACAATGACATGTCACTATGCAACTACAGGATATCAGGATCAGAACAAAAGACGATAACACATTTCTATTTAATTATCTCATATTCGTTGCAACAGAAACCACTTTTATCTAGCTCTAAAAAGTTGATTTTTTTTTCCATAAGAAATACTTTTTTGTTGGTCGAAGGTTTCTCATTTGTCCACCACAATCTTCATTAAAAATTAATAGCATTTTTCTCCTTTGTGCTAATATCAGTTTTAAATCTCTAACTTAGTGGAGTCCATGTCAAATAGAACCGCCAATAGATTTAAAATGAAAACAGTATGAGTTATATATTACACATTAATTGGCCACAATAGTTAGCCATTAATATCATATAATATATATGAAATGTGTCAAAAATAACACTCTTTATTTTTATAAAGAAAGTATATACTCCAAAAAAAATCTTTATCCCTTGTTGCTAATTCATGAACATGATGTGAAGCAGCAATTCAAACCATTCCAGTGAAGGAATGTAATTAATAAGAAAAAAATTGATAATGTAATTCAATAAAAAGGTAAATCTCTAGTAAAACCGAGGCAATCAATATTGAAGTAACAAATTTCAAAATATTTATTAAATCTATTCTGCGTTTTATAAAAAAATAATACTCTCTCTGTTTTCTAATATATGATGTTTAAGAACTTAGTAGGGGTTATTGGTTCTTGTATTTTGATGTATTTATAAATCTTCTTTGGATTTGATAAATTTATTGATTTCAAAATCAGCAAAATGAAAAAAAATTAAATCTACTCAAATACCAAGGTTAGACCTTGTATTTGGTCTTTGTATTTTAGTCATGAAAATCCTTCCAAATTCATTCAAATTCAATTAAAACTCAAATCCTTATAATATTTAGATTCTAAAATGATAGAACCAATAACACTGTATTTCATTATGGATTTTAAAATCATAGAACCAATAACACTGTATTTCAATATAAATTTTAAATTACAAGAACCAATAACACTGAATTTGGTTTGGATTCTCAAATCCATTAAAATACAAGAACCAATAACACCTCCTTAGTTAATTTTTTTTCCAAAACAAAACATCAATTCCAAAACAATTCAATCAATAGAAAAATAATATATAGAATAAAACAATTATTTTTTGCATTGATTTCTGAAAACATCATCTAATTTAATTATGAACAAAAAAAATTTCTAAAACATCTTATAAACATCACTTGTATTTTTTGGGTTTTTGATTTGCGGCCAAATGTATATTTGCTCTTTGGTTTTGTCGTGGTGTTTGAAATAATTGAACACTAAATGAAAAAGTTAATTTGTTTAAGAATCTGTCCCTGTAATTGTCACTACTTCATAATTTTAGGAGAAAAGGTTTCAACTATTTCAATGACTTAGCCTTTGCAAGTGGCGTGGTTTCACTCGTTGGACCTATAAATATCAGCGAAAACCTTTTTCACCACCACCATCGCCACTAAACACAAAAGAAATCGTGGCTCACTGACTCTCTGACCTGACCTGCACACACACACGCACAAACACAGAGATGGAACCGAATATTTACCAACTTGCCCTTGCAGCTCTCTTTGGAGCTTCCTTCGTTGCCGTTTCAGGGTTTTTCATGCATTTCAAGGCACTGAATCTAGTCCTTGAGCGTGGCAAGGAGCGAAAAGACAACCCTGAAGGAGACGACCCGCAAAATCAGACCTCGGTGAGGCGGCGGAGCCAAGTCCGAAGGAAGGGGAATGACCACTACGGTCCCAGCCCGGCTTCGCTTCCAGATGCCACTCCCTTTACCGATGGCGGCGCCGCCGGCGGAGGCGGTGGTGATGGTGGGCGCACCAACGGCCATGTCTATGTCGACGAGATCCCTCCTGGTCTTCCGAGGCTTCACACTCCATCTGAAGGTATGGGAACTTGCTGAATTGGATCATCAGATTGTGGTTTTGATATTGGTTGAAACAGTGATGTCAAAGTTGATCCTTTTAAGGGTTTTTAGTGTATATTTGGTGATTTTTTCATCTGAATTGATTTTCTTTTCTCTTTCCAGGGAGAGCTTCTGTTCATGGAGCTAGTAGTATCAGGAAAACTGGAAGCTTTGTCAGACCCATTTCTCCAAAATCCCCTGTTGCTAGTGCTAGTGCCTTTGAGAGTGTGGGAGATTCAGATGATGATGATAATATGACAGATAGTGCGAATTTAGATGCTTCCTACTTGCAAGCTAATGGTGACATGGTGAGTTTCTTTAATTTTGAATCACCCAATCAAACAGCAAAAGGCTATGGAGATTGGTAAAGCTTACAGTTTTATACGTTTTGCAGCCTGCAGATGCCAATGGAGAGCAAATATCTATGGCTGCTTCGAGCATGATTCGATCTCACAGTGTTTCTGGCGACCTACATGGAGTTCAGCCCGATCCTATTGCCGCTGACATTCTGCGTAAAGAGCCGGAGCAAGAGACCTTTGTCCGTCTTAATGTTCCTCTTGGTAAGAATGGTTACTAGTTTTTTTGTTTTTAATCAATAAATTTGTTTCATAAGTTCGGCTAGTTAAAATGTTTTAGCTAGTAGCTAGAAATTAAGTGGAGTTACAGATAAATGCAATAGCCATTGTCTTGAGTGAAGCAAGCAAGAGCCTTTGAGATTTTTGAAAGTATAGTCTAAGAATTATAGCTTGATATAGTTAAGAGTTCAACACATTTCTGATTCAGATTTTACACATGATCTGTTTAGAGGTGCCAACGTCCGATGAAGTTGAAGCCTATAAATGTCTGCAAGAATGTCTTGAACTGCGGAAGAGGTATGTCTTCCAAGAAACAGTTGCGCCATGGGAGAAAGAAGTCATATCTGATCCAAGCACTCCAAAGCCTAATACAGAGCCATTTGTACACTATCCTCAGGGAAAATCTGATGTGAGTCTGTGCTCCTTTTCTTTTTGTCATGGAGTCTGTGCTCATTCATTGATGAGTGTTAACTTCCCTAATTTTGTTTTTACAGCATCATTTTGAGATGCAAGATGGGGTAGTCCATGTGTTTGCAAATAAAGATGGTAAGAGCCATAGTATTGGAATTCTAATGTTTCTTTTTCCTGAATCCATAAAAGTTGATTTGGTTGCATTCCTTGGCTTTTCGAATAATTGACCCTTGTTCTGTTTCATTGTTCCCAGCAAAACAAGAGCTCTTCCCTGTAGCTGATGCCACAGCGTTTTTCACTGACTTGCATCACGTACTCAAAGTCATAGCTGTAGGAAACATCCGAACTTTGTGCCATCGTCGACTAGTGCTCCTAGAACAGGCAAGAGTTTTTTGTTAGAGAAAAATGAATGTCAATAAGCAAGTTTCATCTGGTTAACAGTATGGCTTTTCTTTGTTTGGTCTCAGAAATTTAATCTCCACTTGATGCTTAATGCGGATAAAGAATTTCTTGCTCAAAAGAGTGCACCGCATCGTGATTTTTATAACGTTAGGAAAGTCGACACTCATGTTCATCATTCAGCTTGCATGAACCAGAAACACCTTTTGAGGTTTATCAAATCAAAGCTTCGGAAAGAACCTGATGAGGTAAGAATTGGAGCCATATGTTTTAGGGAAGTATACAATTCGTTGATTTGCAGATATGATCATTTCCTTGCTCCTCTATACAGGTTGTCATATTCCGAGATGGGACATATTTGACCTTGAAAGAAGTTTTTGAGAGCCTGGATCTAACTGGGTAATTACGTTTCCAACTTAAGTCAATCGTAATTAGATGTCTTCAAGACTTTTAGATTACTTCTTAAGAGTCATTTGGTTGTTGCGAAGAAAATCTGTATTACATTGATTCCCCATTTATACCATGATGCTGAAGAATAAATATTCTTCCTTTGCTTTGCACAGATATGACCTGAACGTCGACCTTTTGGATGTTCATGCAGACAAGAGTACCTTTCATCGTTTTGATAAGTTCAACCTTAAGTATAATCCCTGTGGTCAAAGTAGGCTTAGGGAGATTTTTCTAAAACAGGATAATCTCATCCAAGGTAATTGAATATCCTAGTCACTCTTGCCACTATTTTTAGTTCATTCGATGCATCGGTCATGCACTTCCGTATATACCAGAAGCTTACTTGGTTCTCCTTCTGTATATTATGTACCTCACTATGTGATAGAATACAAAATATATGTTGACTGTTATGATACAAAGTAATCTTCTGGCATTTCTCTTATTTTGCTTTTAGGTCGTTTCCTTGGTGAAATAACAAAGCAAGTGTTCTCTGACCTTGAAGCTAGTAAATATCAGGTAAACTCCACATGCATCTGCAGTACTTTTTTTGGGGGGTCAACTACCGTAGTCTTATGCATTAAGAACGAACATTGTAACAGAAGAACTTACAGTCAAATCTATTACAACTAAGCTTGTTATATAATGATTTACTGAGCACTAAGAGCCTTCGAATTTTCGTAATGGATCTCCCACTCTCTCTTACATTCGCAAACCCAGATAAAACGCAAAGCTTGCTATTTTCTGCTGCATATGCTATATAGACAGAGAGCATAAGTACATTAAACCTTTATTACTTTGTTATACTAGGAAAAGACTTATAGTAGTAAAAACCTTGGACTTTTAATTTCAGTGACCATATCAAACTTGTACTCTCTTTCTTATACCTAAGGTTACTTTTCTTAGTGCTCGTCTCGTCTCTTGCGCATTGATTTGAATGCCGAAGAAACGACATGTAGTACTGCTCAATTTCTGTGTTAAGAAATCTTCTTGCCAAAGTAGATCCATTATTGCTTTGTTTTGTTTTTCCTGATCTTTACTTTGGATACTGCAGATGGCTGAATACAGAATATCTATATATGGGAGAAAAATGAGCGAGTGGGACCAACTGGCTAGCTGGATTGTTAACAATGATCTATACAGTGAGAATGTTGTCTGGTTAATTCAGGTTTGCCATCTCTTTGATGCTTTTGTGCTCTATATTCCAGCCCATGAGTGTGTGTGTTTGTGACATGACTGCTAACTGAGCTAAACTTTCCTCGTCTTATGTGTGTCTGCTCTCTAGCTCCCACGTCTGTACAACATTTACAAAGACATGGGTATCGTGACATCTTTCCAAAATATCCTTGACAATATATTCATTCCTCTCTTTGAAGCCACGGTAGATCCCGATTCGCATCCTCAGCTCCATGTTTTCTTGAAGCAGGTTAGCATCCACATCTGCCAAGAACCTCTTAATCTGCATGTCGTTGAACTATTAAAGAGTTGGTTCAACTGGTTCTTGTTTGGTATTTCAGGTTGTTGGGTTTGATTTGGTCGATGATGAAAGCAAACCTGAAAGACGTCCAACGAAACACATGCCCACTCCAGCTCAATGGACTAACGCATTTAATCCTGCATTTTCGTACTATGTCTACTATTGTTATGCTAACCTCTATGTGTTAAACAAGGTACCATTACTACCAATCTCTTCTGCAACTAACTTGGTGTTGTCAGAACTGTGTCATATGGAGTAACTGTTTTTTCTTCAGCTTCGGGAGTCGAAGGGCATGACTACCATCACGCTACGGCCACATTCTGGAGAGGTGTTTGATTTCTTCCGTTGTGCTATATAAATAGTTTTCAGTTACAGTTGAGTGGAATACTAACATGTCTACAAAATTCAGGCTGGTGACATTGACCACTTGGCTGCTACGTTTCTCACATGCCATAGCATCGCTCATGGAATCAATCTGCGGAAATCTCCTGTGCTTCAGTATCTCTACTACCTCGCACAGGTTTGTTAAGACAGCCTACTTGTATTACATATGTATTATTATTGGTTCTGTTCGAAGAATGTCTGAGTGGACATTTATATCATTTGGTTTGACAGATTGGTCTGGCCATGTCTCCGCTGAGCAACAACTCTCTGTTTCTAGATTACCATCGAAACCCGTTCCCTGTGTTTTTCTTAAGGGGTCTCAATGTATCCCTATCTACTGATGATCCCCTTCAGATTCACTTAACTAAAGAACCGTTAGTGGAAGAGTATAGCATAGCTGCCTCAGTAAGTCATGATGTTTTGTTTTCCATTAAAGCAGTCATGTCACACGTCAAAGTTACTAACTGAAGATAGTAACCGGAATTTTCAGGTTTGGAAGCTGAGTGCGTGTGACCTGTGCGAGATAGCTCGTAACTCAGTGTACCAGTCTGGTTTCTCACATGCCCTGAAGGTACTTGTTATATTGTCATACACACATAGTCTTTAGTATAAGATTAACAAGATGCCTTCGTTACGATCTATTGAGGATAATACTAAACACTTTTGACACATGTTTTAGTCGCACTGGATCGGAAAAGACTACTATAAAAGAGGACCTGATGGAAATGACATCCACAAAACAAATGTGCCTCACATAAGGGTGGAGTTCCGTGACACGGTAAATATATATATTTATATACACAGCTTAGTAAAATTCTTCTTTTGTAAGAGAACAAAAAACAAATTACTAAATGGATGATGAAATTGATGCAATGCAGATCTGGAAAGAGGAGATGCAACAGGTTTATCTGGGCAAGGCTGTTATCTCAGATGAAGTTGTTCCGTAATAAACCAAACCTCAATCAGAAATGTCAACGTGAACAAAGAGATGGGTCTTTACACCAAGCTAAGCTTTCCTCTCAAGTATACGGGAAGCAGAAAGTAGTTAGGGTATATGTTTTGTGCCCTAAGGAATGAGGTTTTGGCTGTCAAAATCCCTATTGGGTTTACTTCAATAAATCTATCATTTTACTATTTATTTATCTAGAGTCTTGACTTAAAAGAACAGTTTTTATTTTAATAAAGAGAGCCCATAAAAGTTACATGAATCTGTTTATTCACACATCATTTTGGATGCTACTCGGAAGATCTAATGCCGGTGAAATTTTGGGTATGTCTACAAGACTAAAACCTAAAAATGAGCCTTGTAGACAAGGAAGCAGACAATGTCGCTTTCGCATATTAGGTCAACAGTTCTGAGTATTAACTGTTTTTATCATTACCAACCACCAAAACGCAAAAAATTAGGGCTAGTTAATCGTTACCATCACATTGCCATTATTGGCTAGGGGTCCTACTTTTGAAATGTGAGTTGAAGCCCAAATATTTTAAAGCCTCAATATTCAGCCCAATGCAGGCCCATCTGAATACAGTCAAGTGTTAAAACGAAAATGAGCTCATTTCCAGTTAGATAACTCGTAGTAGCTCCGGCAATAATGGCTGCAATCAGCTTCTCCTCCTCTTTGCATGCCTCAGCCTCTCCCCGTGTTTTTCGTCCACATGTTTCCCGATATACCCCTGGGCTTACTCTCTATTCACGATTCACACCATCCTTCTCCTTTCCCTCTCTCTCCTTCACACTCCGTGGCACAGTCCGGTCTCGTCGTCCCCTGTTAATCGCGTCCGCCATCAAGACTCTGGGGGAGACGGAGCTGCTTCCGATTGCTGAGTCTGATTCGATTCCGGCCGAATCCGGCGTATACGCTGTCTACGATAAGAACGAAGAGCTTCAGTTCGTCGGAATATCGCGGAACATCGCCGCGAGTGTCTCGGCACATGTCAAATCGGTGCCGGGGCTGTGTGGCTCCGTCAAGGTAAAATTCGTCTTTCGATTCGCCGTCGTCCTGATCCAGGATTCATTTATAAAACAAATTCTGATATTGATGAATTCGAAACCTCTATAGAGTAGCAAGAAAATGGAATCAATTGACACTTTTCTGAGAATCTTGATTGATTGGAAGATAGTACTAACGAGGTTTCACAGTTTCTGTGGTTGACTTTTTTATTTACTTTATAATTAACTTTCAGAGATGGAGAAGTCTCTTTCTGTGAATTCTGGAAAAATAGCTCCAGAGTAGTATTAGTATCATCATTAGGATTACTTGTCTGTTGGTAGAAATCGAGCTAACGAAGTTCTTGAGCTGGATTTTGATAAAGAGCTCTTCAACTACACATGTCACATTACCAAGTTATAGATTGAGTAATGATTTGGAAAAAATGCATCAGATGTTTAGGGTTCGAGTATCATAGTTTAGGAAATCATGTCTATGAGATTTCATCAATCCAAGATTGTGAATTAATCTGTTCATTAGTGATTTTGTTGGAATTCTATTGTAGTCACATCTGAGCTTTGATCTTTGGTGTTTTGATTCCCATTCTCTGTTTACTTCTTTCATTGATTAAGAAGAGCCTTTGATTTCTATCTCTGGTGATCTTGATCCTTTTATCAGCTTACAACAGTCAAAATCTTAAAATAGCTCTTGAGAAATTGGGTTGACATTTACCATAAAAGGACCCTTTTTCGTTATTTATTTGCTCCATCGACCAACTTTGAGGATCTTTGGTCTGGCAAGTTTTTGGTTTTGTTGATATCCTTCATTTGTTTGAACATATTATTTGAATGTTTCATGATTTGTATATTCTATAGGTTGGTATAGTAGAAGAACCGGACAAGGCGGTTCTAACACAAGCATGGAAATCATGGATAGAAGAACACATCAAAGTAACTGGAAAAGTCCCGGCAGGGAACAAGTCAGGGAACAACACATTCGTCAAACAGGCTCCGAGGAAGAAATCTGACATCCGTCTCACTCCAGGCCGACATGTCGAGCTCACGGTTCCTTTAGAGGCACTCATCGACCGGTTAGTGAAGGAGAACAAAGTGGTAGCTTTCATAAAAGGGTCGAGAAGCGCTCCTCAGTGTGGATTCTCGCAGAGAGTGGTTGGGATTCTCGAGAGCCAAGGAGTGGATTACGAAACAGTAGATGTTCTTGACGACGACTATAACCACGGGCTAAGAGAGAAGCTCAAGAGTTACAGCAATTGGCCAACGTTTCCACAGGTTTTTGTGAAAGGTGAGCTTTTAGGAGGCTGTGATATATTGACCTCGATGTATGAGAACGGTGAACTTGGCAATATGTTGAATTAATCTCAAAAAACATTTACATATATAAATCGAGAATCCTAATTAACGCTTGGAATGTCTTCTTTAGTTTTCAAACTTCTGCCTCTTTTTTGGCATTTGTAAAAGCTTGCCGATTGTTTTGAACAATACATAATCCGTTTTGTTCTGAATCTCTTAGTAGCCGTTAAAGCAGGTGCAACTTTCTTGACTAATTATATATTTCATAGAAATTCGGAATAAAGGGTAGTATAACAAAAGTTACATAAGTTTTTTGTGTAAAATAATGTGAAACAATTACCAAAAAAGTTTTCAGTTTAATGCAAAGCAACGGGTATGAATACAAAACAAGTAAAGAGTCTAAGACCCAATCGGAAATGGAGATAAGAGAAGTGGACCGGTTTCTCGAGTCTCAAGGAGACAAGTTGTGGCTTTTGCTTTGCCAACAAAAAGGTCAATGTCGGTGACAGTATGTCTTATTGTCCCTTTTCAACGGAACGATCCATGATTCATTGATTCATTACCCAAAGCTAAGCGCGTGAATCTTTTTTTTCTTTACGTACATCCCTTAAAATGTTTAGAATTTTAGATATTCTTATGGGCCATGAAGATATGTAATTGCGGTGATGTTAATTATCATTTTGATGTCGAATACAGAAAAGGAGAAAAAATGAAGCTTTGAAAATTTTGATCCAGACGTGGGAGAAAGATAACTATGTCTGCCACTTCTTCTCTCAATTTTTTTTCAGCAATTCTAGCATCAATTCCAAAAGATAATTTCATTTGTATTTTTTTTCTTCTATAACTACAAATGACTGAAAAAATGGGGCTAAGAGAAATACGTCTATGTTAGTGCGACACAACAAGATTAGCGTAGGATGTGTATATTAGTAAGCATTTCCATCCTAAACAGAAGAATATTAGTATAAACTACAAATAAACGAAAATTAGAGTATGTTACACATATAAACAAAAAAGCAAAAAGAAAGAATATTTAGAAATTTCACGTGTGAAATATGAGATCTTAGATAGTACTAAAAGATATGTTCTATTCTACATATTGTCAATTGATTTTAAGTTCAAAACTCATAAAATTAACTATTTATACCAAACCCACTTGATTTTCTATAAGCATGTTGAACATGTTTCTTCTCGTTTGATGTTAATATTTTTTTTTTTACCAATGCTTTATATATAACATTGAGATCAATTGGTATGCAAATAATATGGCCTAAGAGATTAACCAAACTCAAAACCAGGAAGAAAAAGAATGTGGGGTTAATATAATCCTAAAAGTCCCACTAAAACTCAATATATGAGTGTTAAGTTTCTCCATGGATATACTAACTATTCCCACCAAATAACTAAAACCTACATCCCAAGCAAGCATATAAAGAACAAAATTAACTTACGTTTAAATATTAGAGCTAGAGAGAGCCATCTCTAGTAAGCTTAGCAAGCAATGCATTAATAAGTGACTCCCTCTTCTCTGCTCTCATTTCCTCTCTCGACCGCCTTTGCTCCTCTCTGTCCCGCCACATCCTCTCCATTGCCACCCTCTCCTTCTCAAGCTCCTCCATCTTCTTCCTCCACTCTTCTTCTTTCTCTGCTCTCTCCTTCTCCCTCGCCTCCCATCTTTCTCTCCATTCTTTCTCCATTCTCATCTGATGTCTCATAAACTCATCTAAAACCTCTCTTACAGTACTATTATTGCCACTACTACTGCCTTTACGCTTCTTTGCAATGTTCTTTTTTGGGTTTAGAATCTTTGGGTCATTGCTGATATCTACTAGCTCTTCGTTCACGTTCTCTTCTTCCTCATCTGAAGAAAACTGCTCCGAGTGACCTCTCTTTCTCGTTGCCCCGCTTGTTCCTCCTCCTCCTCCTCCTCCCTCGGATTCTGCCCATAGCATTCTCTGCATTCTACCGGTAAATATAATTTGCATATCGTCATAGAAAGGAAACTGTTGTCTCACTGTCTCTGCCTCCATTGTCTCACATCCCTGGAAAAAAACAATCACCAATGAGATAACATGCATGTATATGTACAAACTAATCTACTCGGGTTGATACTAGGACACTAATTTACAAAAGGTTATGGACTATAAGATTCCTAATTTCTTGGTTACCAAAAAGTATTTATATTTCTTTTGCACATAACATAATTTCATGCACGACCTCAAAGTAAAACTCACTAGAAAATCAAATTATTATTACCCATCAAATGAAAGGCGAAAGAGAGAGAGAGAGAGAGAGAGAGAGAGAGAGAGATAAAGGATTAATTGTGACCTTGAAACGAGTGACGAGGTTCTTCCACTTGCACTTGCACTGTTCAGGGCTACGAAGAAAGCTCTTGTCTCTCATCTTGTTAGAGATGACTTCCCAAAGAAGCTTGTTTCGTTTTGTCTCCATGAAAGTCTGATCCAGCTCTCCTCTTATTCCTATCAACTCCTTCGTCTCTTCTATGCTCCACTGTGGAAACCTATCCCCTGCGGCTACAACAGACGCAGACGCTATTTCGGGTGTTTGCGATTGAGGATGAAGATGGTGATGATGCTTGTTGAGGTATTGAAGCTGGTGAAGGTCATGATGCTGATGCCCATCCATATGAAAGAATCAAGAAAAGAAGTAAAAGAGAAACAAGAATCACCCAACGATTATCTCTAAAGACTAAAAGCAAAGATTAGATTTTGAGGGGCTTTCACTTTTCAGATCGAAAAATGAAAAAATTCAATATTTTTTTTCTTTTGTTTTTGAGTTTGTAATGTGAAAACGTCGAGAGAAAGATGTCTAATTTCTTCGATCGTAATTCTTTTCTTCTTCTCCACTCTCTCTTTCTCCTGTCGCCATCTGTCTACGCGTTTACTTTTTTCTCTCTCTCTCTTGGATTTTTCTAATATCATTTACCTTTTTTTCTGTTATCTTTTGACAAAATATTAAAGAAAAGCTTTTTCTAATATCATTTAATACGAAGAAAGCTTTTCTTTAATATAAATAATTATTTATTTAAATGGCCTATAGAAAAGAAAAAAGGATTAGCGTCTAATAAGATAGGATTAACGTCTAAATAAAGTGTATTTATCAGTGATGTGAATATTTCTATCGTTGTCTCACTAATGTAATAATCACTTTTATTTGCAAATAGTGTTCTAGATTCGACAGTCGACATATAATCAATAAAATGTTTATGAAATGGATTTATTACCACTCTCTTCTTGGGATCAATTGTCACTTTATCATTGTACGGATTTCGCTTTTGGTATGTCGATCTCTTGGTCTATTATCGGGTGTGTGGAAATCATGTTTATTCGATTTCGGTTTGTTATTTTTCTTTTAAATTACAAAATTTGCTGATGAGTCTTGTAAACTACCATGATTTTTTTTCTAATTTATCTATTTTGTGTTCACTTGCATAGTTTATAGTATTTAAAATTACACTAGTTTAAGCAGTTTATTTGTTGGGTTTTCTTTAAAGAAGAGCTGTTTGAAGTCAGATGTAATTTGATATTACATATAGTTGCTTTTCTTTGTAAAGAGTTTTCTCACAGTAACAATATTTTTTTTTTCGAAAACTAGGATAGTAAATATATACAATTTCACTCACAAAACGTGATTTAACAAAGTATACCGAGACCATACCATGAGAATGTGAGCTCACATAGCTCTATAATATGATACTATTTGGACCCTAGTACCACTTTATAACGTTTTAAAAGTAATGAGTATTGCAGAGGTTGTGAGGAGTTGTAGAGGAAAAAGAAAAAGAAGAAAAAAATGATATGGCGAGACTGCAGAGGAGAGTCGCCTCTCTGCAGAAAATCTGTAGAGATATTTTTTAGTGACGTGGCGAAACACAATTGATCAACTTTTTTTTTAAATCGTTTTTTTATTTAAAATATCAATTTTTTTAATAATAAATTTTTTTAAAGAATCTCTTCACCCAGCTCTGCAATACTCATGTTCTAAGTTGACAATCAGCTCCTAGACCTTAATCTCGTTTGACTATTTTAGAAAATTTTATCATCTGCAAATCTCTTTGATAATGCTGACTCATATTTTATAATACAGTGTAAGAATTGAGTTTTTCGAGAAATATTATTTTTTAGTATTTTTTAAAAAATGACAAATATACTAGAAATTATTTTTCAAAAGATTCCTAGACTTCAAATCAGTTGTCAGAATCCTACATAGTGATAGTTCTAAATTAAAAAAAAAAATTGTGATAAATTTGGAACCAATATAAAATGTGGTATTTGAGAGAATTTTCAACAAATAAACATATATACATAACTGACTAGACTAAGTAAAACACATTGGAATGTTAATATTTTCTTACTGAAATGTGAAGTCCTTTACGCAAACTTTAAATTTAAACTGGGCTATTTTCTGTTTAAAGCTTTAACTGCTTTTCATTTGTCATTTTATAATCTATTAGTGTGACGATTGTGTTGCGTTGATGTTTCATCACCATTTGCGAGAAGTTTCGGTTAGTATACTTTTGTAATATTGTGTGGTTCTTAATTCTCGGCGACCAGTCGTAGCCGTAGCTTCACGCCCAAGTCTCTCTTTACAACTTTAGTGGCCTAAAACCATATTATTTTGAAACTATGTATATATTTTGATATTTTCATTAGTGACTACACAAACTAGTATATGTCTTCCTAAACCATAAAAACTTTAAAAACCCTACACCGCTAAAACCGAATGTTTAACGATAAGCGAAAAAGCTAAGTACACTATTTCTTTTTGACAAAAAAATACCAAAAACCAAATCATCTAAACACATCTGATAATAAATTTTACACACTGATAATATATTTTTACAATAATAAACTGTAATATTCATATATTTATATAGATTATTCAAATTAAGTTTTAATTTTGCCCAGAAAGCGAGAAACACCTAACGGTTCACTTGTTCGAAAGTTCATGAAAATTCTTTCACGCTTCAATATATTTTTGTTATGTGTAAGTTTGATGGATCCTATTGTAAATCTTTTTATCCGGAATTCAGATATCTAAATGATTTTTGGGCTCCTTTGGGCTTTTTGTTTTTGCTATTTGGGCTATTGTATTTTTGGGCATGTTCTGAACAATTTTATCAATTAGTTATAGAAATAAATAATAAATATTTTACCCTTATTACATTATTAGTATTTGTTTCTTATCTTATAAAAAAAATTTTTTATTTGAAAATACTTTTTGAAGTTTAAGTTTTATTATACATAATATATATATATATATAGACGCATAATACTTTTTTTGAACGAAAATCAATAGTGCTTATAGTATTTTTTTTTTTTTAATAAAAAGGGCTTGCTTATAGTATTTTGAACACAAGAATGATACATTTATAATTATACGTATGTGAATCAGTCCATTGTCCGTGTGGGTTTAGCCGTTTAGCTCATTGAAACTATTTTGGTGAACTTGGCCGTGACTACTACAACAAAGCCATGTGTTTACCTGACATTAACCGAATTTATGTTGCAACAAAATTTCAACCACAAGTTTATTGTTACTAGAAAGCCCTTTTTATAAAAAAAAAAAAAAAGTTTATTGTTACTACATTTCATATATATGATTCGCTCAGAACTTTTACAAAATAAATTATTTACGACAAAATAAAATTGGTTAAACTTCGACTCGCTCAGAATTTTATTGACAACCATTCTTAAAATTTATACTGTTTACCAAAAATACAAACGTCGTGTTCACATGTGCGTTTGGTAGCCACTATTCACATGTAGCCATTGTCTTTTTCTTTTTTCTTCTTTTCGCGGCAACGTAGCTGTTGTTTTCTAAACAATCAACGAGTTTAGATGAACATTTTTTTTTGTTAACTATCACAGACGTCAATTACGTTCAGAATATTCAACATATTCGCTGAACAATTTATTTCTTAACATCACGATATAGTTTTTCTTTTTTACGATGAAAATGATTTTAATATCAGAACGAAATATTATACACATGACGTGAATAAATTCCAATGGGATGAACACGAAATATCCCACGCATAATCGATCTCCTATATAACTTGTTTATTTGTCGATGTAGATGTATTTTTTTTTTCACCAAAAAGATAGTCATTGTATAAAAGTTAAATATGTAACTATGTAAGCACTAGCATTCGCAACGATGAGTCATAGCATTGATAATTCAGCCGATTAAAAACCCTTTAACCCCTAGAATATTCAGCCGATTTATATTAAGACATGTGATACATAAGCATATATACATTGCCTCTTCCTTACTACATATATGGTCCCCGTTCTTATCACTAATATATTTCAAAGAAAGAAAATTTTGTCCAACAACTCTCTAAACAAATATACGGTTCGAAAAAATTAATGTTCTTATAAGAAAATGCCATTTCTATTGATCAATAAAAGAGGTTTAGAATGCTGATATTATTAACTATGTGTAGGAAACGTTTAATTTTCAATCCAAAAAATGAAACAAGCTCAGTATGCTCGACTACATTAGCATGTTTAGGAACCATCTCTTAAAGAGTGATATGGAGTCTACCCTCTACGCGTATAATTCCATGTAGTTTCATATATGATCAGATAAGAAGAACAATATTATATTCATAAGCAAAACATTATACAAAAAATAACGGTGACAAAAGATATATTCTTATTTTTTTATTATTACGTTATAAAAATATGATTTTTTACGTTTTAGCATTTGAAAAGAGTACAATATACATAGATCATAGATGTGTTAGAACTTAATTTATAAAAATCATAATGTCAAAAATCTATTGAACTAGTATTCGAACATTTTGTGATTATTATTAGAAAATACAGTTCAGCCAAAATGTTTTCACATCAGCCAATTCTATGATTTATGTGATATACAAATCTTTTTTTTCTTTTTCAAAGTGATATATATATACCAATCAAAAAGATAAATCAACCATTACCAAAAAAAAAAGTTTTTTCAGAACGTATTTTTAGTCTTTCTTAATTGTTTTTTCTTTTGGTTGTGGTTAATTAGCCAATCAAAAATATAATGTCAATTAAATTACATAATGCATCACAGATAAGATGATCTCGACTCTATATAGAAATAAAATAAACATGAAACGATCCGTATGGGTTGGCATTCTTTTTTGTTGTTCCAACGTATTATTTTTAATATAGCAATAGCGTTCATTTGAAATCATAGAGTTATATAAGTACATCTGTATATGATATTTTTCATTTGTAACTATGAAACAGAACACTTCTATAATAGTTTTAACACATATATTGATATATTACTTTGTGTTAATGCATCTATTGCTACAATAGAAAAGAAGACGAAGAAGCAGCACAAAAACTATAATTTTGTCTGTTCATTAAACTGTAATTTTACTGTGAGTCGTGTATCCTAAGATTAAGTAGTTGGAGAAAGAGTTCAGTAGGACACGACAACTAACTACACATGAAGATGAAGTGTTAGCTTTTGGTCTCTCCCATTAGCTCTTAATTATTAAATGACTTGCAAACCATCGCACGGCGCCGAAATTCGTTCCCCATCTCCCTCAATTCAAAAGTCATTAAAGACAAAAAAAAAAACAAATTAAAAATATTGTCGACAATATCTATCCACAACTCTACAAAAAAACGTGCATTATGTATTTATGTTTATCATCTAACTAGCTCAACATGCAAAGTTTTATTAGGTCGACCTCAAAATTCAATAAAAAAAATTAGTGGAATAAAAGAATATCGACATATCGAATCATATTATATTGTTTCACGTTTCATTTAGTTTATTTTTATTTCTATATTTATATCCACACTCGTCCTCGCTTCATCCACCATCTAAAACTTTCATTATTTTCCTTA